ATGACTTTGGTGGAAATAAGCAAGCTTAGACTGTATTTGATCTCTTGGGGAAAAGAGGGCCACAGTTGCGGGTCTGCCGTGAAGGTTGCCTCTACGCATCCTCTTGTTGACTTGTAGCATTGATGTGACAGCATTGATTTCATGATGGTCGAAAAGAAACCCTTGTTAATAGTCCCTAGTCACCTCCTTAATTCTGACCTGGATGGCCCAGGGTAGCCTAATCTTGTCAGATCTCGGAGGCTAAGCAGGGTCATCAGCCCTAGTTAGGACTTGGATGGGAGACCACTAGGGAGGAGTTCCAGGGTCACTATGCAGAGGCAGGCAATAGCAAAACTGCCCCTGAATATCTCTTGCCCTGAAAACCCTACAGGGTCGCCATAAAGTCGCTTGTGACTTGACAGCACATTCCACCACCACCACCAGTAACCTCTTTTGCTTCCCAACAAATCTTTTTGGCAGAGTTAATGGATGATGATCTCCAGGATGATATTTTGTGTGCCAAGAGAATTGTCCGTGACCGCAAAAGGAGGATGAACGCCTGGTGAGTCCTCCTCTGTTTGGCATCTCTTGGCTATTACGATTCAATCGTCATTAAGCTCTATAGAAAGGGGAGTGATAAGTTTCAGTAAGTTTGGAGCTCTTTCGCATGCCACCTTGTGGCTCTTCGGAGCACTGTTCCCCAGGACCATCCATCAAACGGGCCTTGTTATTTCCATCCTTTGCATGAGACATAAGAACATAAGAGAAACCAATGTTGGATCAGGCCAATGGCCTGTCGAGTCCAACGCTCTGTCACACAGTGGCCAAAAACACCAGGTGCCATCAGGAGGTCCCCCAGTGGGGCCAGGACACTAGAAGCCTTCCCACTGTTGCCCCCCCCCCCCAAGCACCAAGAACACAGAGCATCACTTGCCCCAGACAGAGAGTCCCTGTCTATACCTTGTGGCTAATAGCCACTGATGGACCTCTGCTCCATATGCTTATCTCCTGGAGACAATGGCTGCTAAGGTAGAAAAGCACCTCCTCCTGTGCCATGTTTTCTGGGTTCCAAGGGTCTGGAAAGTGGTTCCATAGCCAATTACATGGTTGCCAACTCTAGGTTGGGAAATACCTGTAGATTTGAGGGGTAGAGCCTGGGGAGGGCAGGATTTTGGGTGGGGAGGGGCCTCAGCTGGGTATAATGCCATAGACTCTACTGCCCAAAGCAGCCATTGTCTCCAAGAGAACTGATCGGGGTCATCTGGACATCAGTTTTAATAGCTGAAGCCCTGACTGCTACGTCACATTGGCTGTCATACAGGGGCCATCTCAGCAGGATATAAGGACACAGAGTCCACCATTTTCTCCAGGGGATCTGATCTCTGCCATCTGGAAAGCAGTTGTAATTCTGAGTGATCTTTAGCCCTCACCTGGAGATTTGCAACCATGGTTTCCCCCAACAGACACTAAGGGGAAATCTATTATACCTCAGAACATCAACAGCAAACTGTTTAGAATGTTAGCGGGAAAGGCCAGTGAGACCGCATATGCAAACGACCTCTGTGTTCCGAGGCGAAGGCGAATCAGGCCACATATGCAAATAACCTCTGTGTTCTGACTGGCTGTGGGGGGGAGAGGAAGAGCAAACTGTTTAGAATGTTGGAGGCAGGACTCAGGCAAAGCAGCCAGTGGATAGGGAGACCCTCTGAATGACAGATCAGAGAGCGAACTGATTTTGGAGCGTGTTGGAATGTTCAGGGGAGTCCATGACCAAAATAGAATTATATATACCAGAGGATAATATAGGTGATCAAGGGTAAGGCATAACTGATAATGAGTTTCTGGTATACTAAATGGATGAAAGAGCAAGGAATACCTTACATAGAAACCTCCTGAATTTCTTTCTCAAGAGAGGTGTATCTTACCTGCAGCTATCAAAGGAACAGTCAATTGATGGTGTTTCCCCCCCTCTTTCTGACTTCCAGGGTAGCCTGGAGGAAATACTGCAAGAGAAGAAATCTCTCTCACTGGACTAAAGGCTGTTAATTCTCTGTCCCATGAAATCTCAGCGTATCTCTTCATTACTCTGCTGATACAAGCGACACTTCCCTACAACCTCATCTGGGATTCGCTTAGGGCTTTTGTTGTTGTTGTTTTGTGCAAATGTTGACACTCTGCACCCTGCAGAATGGAGACAATGGCCTTCTGTGCATATGAATGAGGGAAAGTTTTTTGAAAAGTATCTGGGTGGGGCACTGATTTAGCTTTGGAACTGTGGGTTTCTCCCTTTGAAAAGCTTCAGTCAATTGTGTAGAAAGAGACTCTATTCTTTCTGGTTCACAAAGGTGCATATGTCTGTGTGCAGAGGCATGTGGTGGAATGAACAGGAAGAATCAGTGTGTCTCTCTGTGTGTATATATATGGATGAGATCTGCTCTCATTCTCAGGCAGAGTCTATTCTTAAGTACTGTCAGAGCTGGATTCAGGTGGGTAGCCATGTTGGTCTGAAGCAATAGAACCAAGTTTGAGTCCCATGGTACCTTTAAGACCAACAAAGTTTAATTCTGGGTATAAACTTTCGTGTTCATGCACACTTCTTGATGAAGTCCTTTTGGTTAATTTGCAAGAAGTGTGCGTACACATGAAAGTTTGTACCCAGAATTAAACTTTGTTGGTCTTAAAGGTGCCCACTGGTCACACTTTCTTCTACTATCGGAACTGTCGGGGCAAGTTTTTAAGTCACGCTGTGGGTACTCACATGTGCCACAAGGTGGCGCTGCAAGCCCACAACCGTTGCTAACTCTTCCATAGCATGTGTGATAGTAGGTTGCACTGCCAGAAT